AGCTACATACTATATGTAGTGAATTTATTATAGAATACTACAGGACAGATTCTGGCCCTCTGTGTTGCTTAGTCAAGTACAGCTGCATTCAGGAAATAAAGATCTAAGAATAATGTAAAAAAGATCACTGGATGAAATAGGAGGTGGAGTAAGATTGTAGATGGTACTGAAATATATAGGGTTTACGATAAACAAACAAAACAGTAGGAGTAAAGATCAATGTATATAAATGTATCAGACAAGAAGGATGAAATAAGCCAGTATTAGGATACTTGAAATACTCCGAATAAACAATAACAACCCTCTATACCTAGATATAATGATTCTTCATCAGCAGAAAATAAATATTTTGCTAATCTTTCATTTTCTGTCTGTTTTCAAATTGAATCAAGCTTGGAATGCCCAACAGCTAAGAAAACAGTAATAAACTATACAGTTATTGGCACTTTCACAAATACGAGAACAAGTGTTAGGAATACCAGGATCCAATACCTAGGGACCATTCTAAGTAGGGTAACCCTACTTAGAATTGGAATCTCTGGTCTCCAACACGTGCCTGTGGCCCCCTTACCGGGCCAGCACGTTTTGATACATATTTATATCAGCTGAGTCCAGTGACTAAAAAGCCACTGAATTGAATGTATGAGAATAATACCATATACATCGCTACCGTGTATCTGACCGAATCCTATTTGTGGAATAGATGAGAGGGAACTTTCGACTAAATCTGGGAAGTGGAATGTAATAAATCCGTCAACTAGTTAGAGAGTTACTAGGCTTCAAGAATTTGACATCTTTGGTATTGACCATAAGTAACAGGACATTTTCACATGAAAATATAGTATTGAATGTGAAGGATATCAATGTGAAACTAATACATTCGCACCCACTCTATGATAACTACAAGAGTCTAGAACTCTGAGGAATACTACTACAGAAGTAAATAGACTTCACAGAACATTACAACTAGGCCTGGGAATGGGTTGCAGTTGTCATAATAATTCCTAATACGAAAATAATAATTAAAACCCTGTTATCCTGAGCAACCAAACATTGCCAATCGATGAGTTACCTGCCAATCCAGTATAATAGCTGCTTGCAAATCAGAAGGAAGTCATCTAGAAGATATCGGTAGGTTGGATTCAGAGTTATAGAGGTTTAAAGTCAAGTGACCAAGAAAGGTTGAAATTATAACTACTTTCACAGATACAACCCACAGATGAAATTAATTATTTCATCAGTAAGTGAGACAATTGGGGCCAACTCAGTTCAACTTGAGAACTAGGCTATAAGTCTAATGACTCCGAAGATCAGATAATTTCTATTGAAAATGATATAGTTCCCAGTTAGCAATATCATAATTACTAAAGAGGGTGTAGTGATTGTCAGGGTCTCTAGGTGCTCGTATCTTTAGAGAATATCAGACATTATGAGTTATAACCAGAGAAGTAGATAGTTTGTATAATAGATAGATGTAGTCCACAAACACTCAGACACAGAATATAAATATCAAAATTCATCTCAAGCTTTTAGACATCATCAAGCAAAGGAAAAAAGACCTTTACAATATAACATTGTTCTTATAGTTCTATTTTACTTTATCTACTTTACCTTACTCTTAGTAGTCATAAACGAAACAAGTATAGTTCAAGACTACCTAGACAATCTCCGTCTACAAAAACGAATCTTGGTTGGCCTTGACAACTCTCAGTCTATACAGGTTGTCTCCGCCTAACAACAAAGTATTACTCCTTGAAGGCTCATATAAGTGGGTGTTAAACTCTTATTCATACATACTAAGAACCAATTTGCAGGTAAATCTCACAGTAGAAAACATACTTGTGCTACCAGATACCTGAGTACTTTTGATAAATTTAAGCGAATTAACAATGCAGACAACAATTTTGAGAACTTAACTGTGGATTTTGTTGACAAACTCAAACTTGAAGATTTTACTATTAGAGGCAGTCTCCTACTATACATTCAGAGACATTGAGGTCTAATGTAGATGTAATATCATGGACTGTTTCATAAGGATCTCACATGGGAGTAATTTTTAGATATTACTTATTACTCAAAGACAATATTTTTAGTACTCCAAATCATGATATCAAATCTATTTTGCTATTCTTATACCAGACAGATACAATTGGGTAAAAAGTACTCCCTTGAGACATCTAGTTCTTGAGCAATCTTGCAGTATGACTGACCAGTATCATACTTCTCAATCATAAATATGCAATCCTTGCGGTCAATTTTACTATTTTTCAGTCGGATTGTAGCATTATCGAGTTGTTACTAAAATTAGGATTTATTACTACTTAAGAGGATTTTTGTATAAGTAGTATCAAGATACATTATCCACAATATTTTTTCACACTACTGCTGTAACCTTACATCAAGTGGGTCACAAATGCAGATTGTACAGTTGTGTCCAGAAAGTTTTTGTACCCTCGCATGATAACCGTACAACTACAACCCCCAACTATAAAAATTTCAAAAAAAATGTAAAGAATTCAATTAAAGAAAACATGATAGTATTGCTAGTAGACAATAAAAAAACATTATTACCATTTTGTATGGCCTCCGTTTACATCCAGTACAACTTACATTCTCTCAAGCATCCTATCTATCTATCCTTCCAACTTTTTTTGGAAAATTAAATCCCACTCTTCCTTTGCTGCCTCAAACAATTCAGCTACACTATGAGGCCTTCTTTCCAGTCTGGAGAATCGCTTGGTAAGGGCTCTTTTGAGTAGTACCTATGTATTCTCAATAGAATTGAGATCTGGTGAGTTGGGTAGCCAAGGGAGTTTTTTGTAACTATAGTCTGCTTTCAAATTTCAATTTTCCTCACCACTATGCCAGGAAGCATTGTCTGCAGCAATGTAGATATTGTCAGAAGGTCTATTCAGACCCTCTATAAAAGGGAAAAGGTAAGGCTAGTGGATCTCAGTTGCATATTGGTGAGAGTTTAGGCCAAGTCTGTCTCTTTTGCTGGTCCTTTCCTCCTTCCTCCTCTTTCTCACAAGAATTAACTCAGTCTTTCCTCCCTTCATCATTGCAGCATATACTCCAATGCTAGTTCTTTCAGACTTAAAGCTAGGCTTTAAGTTTTTTTCTTCTAGCTCTTCACCAGGTCTAACTCTGACCTCTCTGCTTGTTGGATTTGGATCATAAACAATGGTGGCTTCATCCACAAAAACAACCCAATTCCATGCCCCTTTCCAGTTTCTCCTTCTCTTAGCAAACTCCCTTCTTTTCTCCTTTTGTCCTTTTCTCCAAAAAGGCTTTTTCCTAAGTATCAAAAGCTTAAAACCAGCTTCTGATATGATCTTATCAATAGAGGCTTTACCAAGACGAATATTCGCTTTTTTGGTAATGTCACATAATGCTAAATGAGGCTCAACATCGATAACTAACTCCACTATCTTTCTTTTTATGTCGATAATCTTGGTTGGTCTCCCAACTCTTTTTGCATGGTAAGTGTTTTCACCCCTAGATTTAGCTCTTTTAACTACAGACTGAACAGTTGACTTGGATACACCTAAAGACTTAGAAATTTTGTCATATCCCATATCTGTATGTTTATACAGAGTATAAATTCCCTTATTCAGGTCTTCTCTTGATCTTAGGTTATGTGGAGGGGTCATGGTGAGGAGCGTTGTTGTGGTGATGAAGTGTTGCGGGGTTGCACCTCAGGGGTATAAAAACTTTCCGGACATGACTGTACTACATGGTAAGCTGTTGGTTTTCCAATATGAGAGAATGGAAAGCTTATAATATATTGTATGAGATTACTGAAGGTTACTTGTAGGCTCCTGTGACTTCTGAAATACCTCTGATAAGAATTTCTACTTTGAACCAGTTTTCTTCTTAATATTAGCAGAGAAGCAGTCTGGAAAAAGAGCTGAAAGTTGAGAATGGCTACAATATGTCCTAAAAGTTGATTGGTAACTTATGAAATCATTTTAGAATGACCTTTTTACTAAACTGGATTGAATTTAGAGTATTGCTTGCTAAATCTCAATAGGTATTTAAGTTGAAAATTTGTTCTTAAATCTTGCAGAAATCTCTAAGTATCATACTCTACTTTCCTACTAATAAAAATATATTAATAATACTTCCTACCATATCTTTTTCACTAACTACACTGATCACATAATATTATGACATTCTTGTGAAGGTTGTGAGGTTGGTTGACCTTTACCACATATGTGATCAAGATCATTGCTTCCCTCAAACTTCTTATATAATATCTTAGACACTAATTCCTAACATCCCCGTGTTCTAAACTCTAAACGCACTACCTACCACATGGTCTGCTTATTCAAGCTTTTAAAGTACCTCATACCTATTTAAATAAAATTTACAGGTTTCAGTGTCAACCAAGAGTTACTTGGACAAAACATATTTTAATTTTATCATTATATATAACTCTTCTCAGGATAGTTGAGAATCTAAAAGTAAATTTTATTACTTTATTTACATACTTTTTGATTTATGATATGAGTGGTATCTGTTGCTATGCATGGGTGCGAAGACTTTTTCCGGACACGACTCTACTATGAGGTAGAAGAAGTTGCAAAACATCCTTCAACCTGGTTGACCTTCTTCCGTTCAAGTTCTTGAATCATATCACATCCAATTAAAGTACCGGTAATTGCACTCGGAAAACAAATTGTCCCAATACCTTTATCCCTGTCCCGAGTACAGTAGAGTACGGTAGATTTGCACACTAATTGCATCATTCCCTTTTTTCCGAGTGTCGAGTTCGATCAGACACTGAATTCCTTCAACTTATCGTGCTCGAGCATCTTCGAACAAATAAGTTTTGGGTCAGCATTTTTCAGGCCCCACGCAGGCTGAATGAATTCCTCTTGCGAGTATCATGCTTAGATTGTATCAAGGGAGGAGAGGGAGAAATCGTCTCGATTCGTTCGCGCGCTTATCGTGTTAAACTTGGAGTATCATACTATGGCTTTCATATGATACCATAACAGGAAAAGAGAAGTGTGTGTTCGAGGAAACATTCGCTACTCGAGTATATACTACGGGTGGGCCACCTTCTGTCAGCACTACAATCGCCCACTCGAGTAAGTTGTAAGTTACTGCATGACAGCCTATCTGCACTTTTTTCTACCAGCCATCATATCGCATCGTATGCAATCCCTTTAGCAACTGCTGTCCATACCGGCACCTCCATGCAGCACCTCCATGCAGCACCTCCATGTCTTCATACCTCCATACCTGCATACCTACACAACATACCGGTAATATAAAGCGGGAAAGCGAGAAAGAAAAAAAATCATCGGCAGTAGCGGGTGCCCTCCCCCTCTTGGCCTTGCATTCCCAATCAACCTCCTTCGAAACATACATACTGCGCCCCAACAACAGCAATGGTATGAAAACAGATCGAAATAAAAATAAAAACATAAAAACATAAAAGTATGATATGGTAGAAGGAGGAAAAAAATTGCTTCACCATTAAACCACCGAGCAAGGCAAGAAAAAAACCTCCCCCAAATAATCCTCAGCTCTTTAGGAAAAAAGATGGGAAAAATGATAAAAGTTTGATAGTAATGATAATCCCCACCTTGCCTACTAGGTCGTACGGTGCAAAAGAGACCCCGCACAGCAATTACACTATGTACAGTACACGGTATTGTGTGGACGGACGAATGGACTAAAAAATCCCCAATTTTCTGAAATCTGCGAGTACGTGCTCGTCCACATTTACCGCCCAGTCATTCCTGAAAGACTCTGGCCCACCATTCTCGTTCTGCGCTTTAGTTAGATGATGCTTGACCAATGCTGCAATGTCTATCGACTGGGCCGGATCCGACATGAGAAGCTACCGTGAGAGAAAGGGGGCAGAGGAATTGTATGTTAGCAGAATGTAAACAAACACAGTGGGGAGCAGGTGAAATGAGAAACAAACCTCCTTTCTGCGCCTTCTCTCAGCGGTTTCAGGGTCTTCGGATGCGCCCTCTTGTCCAGCCCCCCAGTAGATCAGTGCACTATAGGTACTCACTATCAGTCGAGGCCCACTTCCTCAATATCGCATAGGCCACAGTTCAAGGCTTACTCGGCTCCCTGGTTTTCCTGAAGTTCGGTGACAACGTCAGTCCAAACGGTCATGAGATCTTGCAGCCTCTTCAGAATCCACCGCTGGTTGGTCTCGAGGAGCTTTGTCAGAGCAATGCAGCCAAGTTTTCTCTGCTTTGGATGTCCAATGTTTCCGAACTATATCGCCCACAATCCCACGTTAGCACCAGTCACCACCAATGTGTACCCAAAAAGTAGAATTTCTGGTGCCAAAGGCACACACAAACGCACGTGTCTAAACCACTCCTCTAGAATCCATTCCATGTCAGATTCTCCTGTGCGACCCTTCCTCTCTGCACAAACTCTCACGTTCTCTGCAAACATCGTAGTGCTTGCTAACACCATCCTGGATAATACCGAGAAGTAGTCCGTCATTACGATAGTATCCAATGGCGCGTACCGCTTATTGGGACCGGTAGTCTGATGCGCTTCATGGCTCTTCTCGATGCCCTCAAGGAGGGTTGGTAAGAAGCCGCTCCGAATCAACTCATTTCCAACTACTCCCAGCGCTTGCTCTCCACCCAGTGCCTCAGCAGCCCTGATTAAAATCTCAACAACGTTCGTGACAATGCCGTTCGCTTCTGGCTTTAATGTGCCCTGCAAAGAAGCGAAAGCGTCAAACATCCCCGCACGATGCACTTCAATCATTTCGCGGGGTGCTAGAATGACATAGCTCTCAATTATGTCAAGCACTTTCCTGAGGGTTAGGGTTCCAAGATCTACACAGGGCAAAAGGTAAGAGACAAGATCTAGCAGCCCCTGTGGCGCAGGCGCAGGCGTAGCTCTGATGGCTGCTTCCCATAAATCAAGGGCATCTTCCAAGAGATATACTTGCATACCCTATAATATTGTCAGCCCACATATCGCAAACTAGTCAATATTGATTGAAAAGGGACATGGAATTATCGTGATACGCACTGAGCCTGGCTCCACCGAGAACCGAATAAGCGGGATCACCATATGATGATATTGTAAGCTCTTATCCTTCATTGCTGAGACAAGCTTCGTGAGAATGGTTAGGATCGCCTGTTTAAACAGATGCTCATCCCCAGTCTGTTCCCACAGCGGTGGCAATATGGTAATGATACTCTCCGCATAGGGAGCTATTCTGTGCTCCAGCCTCTCTACGACAACCCCAATGACGTCTAACAGTCCCATTCTTACTTCTGTCTGTTCTACCTCATCTATCAAACTCATGAGCTTCGCAAACAAATCGTCCACATATGGAAGAAACGACTCGACCCGAAACTCCCACTCGTCTACGCTCCGCTTGAGGTTTCGAGCAGCCGAAAGCCGTACCACCAAGTCATTCAAAGGATCTTCGCGATTAAGGAGATGTTGTGTAATTTGATAAACTGTGGGCCGGGAGTCAGAGGAGATCTTAACACTAACCCACTGCCCGATCAGGATGGCGATCCGGCGGCGCAGAATGTTGTATCCTGGCTGCCGGATCTGGATTTCCTTCACGAGGGTATTATGCATAAATTGATCAAAGTTAAGAGCTGTGTGAAGCACTGGCGCAGCAAGGCCCACGGCTGTATATATGGCATCCTTTATGAGAACGTCACTCTTCTCATCAGACGAGACCGAGCTAAATACTCTCATCAATGGCTCCCCAAGAGTCTCTTTAAAGTTGAGAACCAGATCCATAAACAGCTTCTCGGCACAAGGCCTTATGAGAAACTCCCAACTCTCCACGGCATTCTCCCACTGCTCGCTCCAACCCTCCGGGTCTTCCTCCCACTCGGTTAGATCCGAGGGGCGTATCACAAAATATTTTGTCACTAGTACCTCCATGCAGTGGGTGACAGTTTCCGGGGTGAACAATTGAGTTTTGAAGATAGCAGTCGCCTCCTTGGTCTCATCCTTCTCGGCCTTGTGCCTGTCTGCAAGAGCCCTCCGGTCAGTCTGTGTGAGCTTACTGGCTGGGGCTTGAGTACATTTAAAGGTAGCTACTGGGCTAAATATTGTCCGGAGACAATTTCTGAATAAAAGCATCCCTTGAAGCGCCACTCTCTGTCTAAACTTCGTGCGTCCTTCCTCAGCTTTTTGCTCAGCTTCGGATTTCCCATTTGATTCCCCGTTGACCCGCTGACTACTCTGCTGCATCAGCGAATTTCCGTGAGCAACTACGACCTCCCAGTATTTCCCAAGCAATCGAAGCGTATCAGGTAATAATGCAAAAGCTGCTGCATGGCTTGACCCAACCTCCAAAAATAATTTTCCTATGTTAATCACGTGCTTTTTTAAAAGCGTTGAGACTGCCTCTTCGCTGGGTGATATCTGTTTCTCAGCTTCGAATATAGCCCATACCTGGCCGGAGAGGATAGACCAAAGCTCCCGGACCTCCGCTACTCTGTTGGGAAACTCATAACCGGCAACAATCAGTCTCCGGAGGACTTTCAGAGTCAGTAACGAGACCGTCATCGAATCAACTAGCTTGGTAGGTGCTGGTTGTTGGTCAAGGAGAGCATGCCAAACTTCAACATGACGAACATAGACATTCCCGAGCGCTTTGAAGACTTCGGGGGTTACGGATTGTAAGTTGGCCTTTGTGCGAACTAACCGTCCCGTTGCTAGCTCTTTGACCACATGGAGCATTATAGACAGAGATCTCTTCAAGCGTAGTGTAGCCACCTCATCCTCACCGGTCTCAGATGTAGACTGCGACGCATCGCGGACGATAGAGGTGAGCTCAGTGAAAACTTCGGGCCAGTCGAACGGATACTCTAAACGAGCCACCTTCGCAACGATAACGGCATTCTGAAGAGCTAGTTGGTGGTGAGGTTCGTCAATCGAGCTAGTGAGCAGGCGAGAGCGCAAATAGGCCTTTTCGTCTTTACTTATCGCACTGTAGCAATTATTAGTGAATCAAGTCTCATAAACCCAACAGGGTGAAAAATAGTGAACATGCTTGTTTGCAGTTTTCCGCCAGTACTTGTCTACCCCCTGCTTCAAGGTAATGATAGCAAGCCATCGAATCTCCACTGGTAACGATCGGTCGAAGAAAGCGTCCTGTAAACATTAAGGTAAGAAAAGTCAGATCAGATTTCCCAGAAGTGGCTCACGCAGTGTGAGCAGGAAAAAGGCGGAAATTCCAACCTGAAGTAGGCTCCAATAGCCAGGGCGTGTCTCCCAATCTTTGAGCTGGGCAGATGCATGCTTTACCAGTTCTTGGGACTGTGAACTCGCAGCTTGTAAAGCCTCAAAAAGAAATTGAGGCGTAAGGGGAACGGCATTTCCACTCGCCGCACTCATGGTATTAATTTTTCAAGGTATGGTTTCTTCTCCCAAGAGCTAGCGGCAGGAGAAGTGTAAGGTTTCTTTGCGGTAAGCAGTACTGTGCAGGAGGAGCAAGAGAGCCCAGAAGAATTCACGGTGTAGAATTCACGGTGGTATTTGGGCAACTATGATTCAAGGCGATAGCCTGGTTGGGTTAAGCAGAGAGAGGGAGAGAGAGGGGGGGAGAATTGCAATAGGGAGGGTGCAAGCCGGTAGGGGGGAGAGGACGACGACGCACGGCAACGGTGCGAGGGGCTTTGACACTGAATGGGAGAAAACTGCAGAACGATACTGTGCTGTAACAGCAACGACATGGGAGACAACCATAAAGGAAGAGGAGGGAGGGGTAGATTAAGATCTGGGAAGCGAAAAACAAGTTGTCCCTGATCAAAGGAATATCATAGAATAAAATGGAAAAACGCTTCTTCGGGGAAGAAGTTTTCCTGAGATGATTTTTCTTTTCTTCTTCTTTCCTTTCTTTCTCCAATCGTTAGGTTTTCCATACTGATACCCCGCTGCATCGCTGCAGACTGTATCGAACATGAAACACGCCTGACGGACCCTACCTCAAACAAGCCCATGCCCCACCAACCCTGAGTTAAAACATGGGTTAATCAAGGTTATTAACATGGAGTAGGGGGTGATCGGTCTGTGCCGGAAGACTCCCGGTTCGGGGAAATAATGGGAATATCCACTGAGCAGAGACAGAGGTCCCATACCGGCATTCGGGCCATCTGCTGGTTTGTCACTTGGGCTTAGGAGCATCCTTGGAGATACCGGCACCATAAGTCCACTCAGGTTCTCTGGTACCATCGTTATCAAGGCCTCTAAGTGCGTTTGTAGAGAGTAATTTTCGGTTGCAGCAACTGCGATGATGAGCTTCAACTCCGATCATCCCAGTAAAGTGCCATACATGAGAGCAGTCCTGTTGGATACTGAAGCTTGGGCAGACACAAGGGTGTCGGTATCGAATGGAAAGAGACCGAAGCAGGATACTCGGCCAATTTCTGCGAATATTCGGAAGGTGAACTACCCGACCGTAGACGTGGGTTGGGCAACATCCACAAAACTAGGCGCCTCCGGAAGCAGTGGCTATCATGTATCATTGCCGCATCACTTGCTTTTTCCCATTTAGAATCCTACTCGATTAACGAGTGGTAATCCTGTGCTGTGCATGCGAGCGGTGGATACAAGTACTTGAGTACTACCCTTTTGATTCCATGTACTCGAGAGATATGCATGTACTGGTGTCTTATCGTAATCGAGTATCGTACCGGTACATACGCACCATCACATTCTATGATCACATATCATCACTCGATAAGTACCACCAGTACTTAAGGTACGCAACTCCAGGCACAACCAGGCACAAGGAACCAACCATCCGCCCATCATAACACACACCTCGGCAGTACGAGTACTTGCAGCATGGTGTGTGGCGTGTGCCCTCACAGACCCAGCAACGCAAAGCAAAACAGCCGCGGCCCAATCGCGCCCATTCACCCCCCCCCCTTTCCCGAACATTATCGCGAGAACTCAACCAGACTTCCGAACCCCCTTCATTCAATGCCCCCCCATCACACACGATGGCCACAATCACCGCAACTGCGCCCACAGCAGCAACAACAACGACAACAACAGCAGCCACGGCAATCTCGGTTAACCCGCCGACGGACTGGCAACTAGCTCATCAGCACGCCCAGCAGCGGATCACTCGTTTACAGGAACAGAGGGCTAGGGAGGCTTCGGGACAGAATCGGGTTGCGAGCTTTTTCGGTGGGAGGAGTGTTGTGGAGGGGAGGCCAGCTTTTAGGGTCGGGCAGCTGGACACTGAATTGCTTGATGAGGAATTGTTGGAATTGATGAAGGGGCAGTTATGGAATGGGCTAAAGTATTTCAGGGTATCTTTATCTTTTCATGACTTATCTCTTTTTGCTTTTGTGCCATAGATATGGTCGGAATGTCTCGTTTGCTGTTGTGCGGGAATTCCTCTTGCTAATGGCAGGAATTGTGGGAATTGTGGGAATAGCCGTCTCTTAAAGAAGCCTACGAACCAGAGTTCTTACTCTTGCTTCGTGCGGCCTTGTTCAAGCTTACTATCTGGGACCATAACGCGACATATGGTGCCGCCTTGCAAAACCTTGTATACGTCGATGCCCGATCGAAAGGGCCAATTGACCAACCTCCAACAGCTCTTCAAAAATCCCTGTACGGCCTCATTACTGTCGGTGGTAGATACATGTTCTCCAGAATGAACCTGTTCCTCCTCTCCAGATCGAACCCCGAAGACGTATGCTCTCCCCCCCAAGCCAACAGAGAAGGGAAAAGAAAAGAAGGGCCTCCGAAATCTAATGGAAAACGTACCCACAGTCAACCCCCTTCACAGAACGCCTCTCCAACCTCGTCGAATCTCTCTCAACCCTCCACTCGGGCCTAACCCTCCTCTCATTCACCGCGTTCCTAGTAACTGGCCACTATCGCACCCTCCTCGATCGAGCGCTGCGCATGCGCCTAGTCTCCCCAACCAGACTGGTCTCGCGCGAGGTCTCCTTCGAATACCTCAATCGCCAACTCGTCTGGCACGCCTTCACCGAATTTCTTCTCTTTATCCTCCCGCTGATTCGGGTCAGCCGCTGGCGCCGCTGGTGGGCCCGCCTCGACCGGAAAATCCGCAGCAGCTCTGGCGCCGCCACCACTTCTACCGGCGAAGGCTACGGGGAATTAAATTTCCTCCCAGAGTGTACCTGTGCCATATGTCACAAGGAGACAGACGGCGGAGCCGAAGCCACGGGCGGGAAAGCCACCGATGTGGTGAACCCGTACGAGGCGGTGGGTTGTGGACACATTTACTGCTACGTATGTCTCGCCGGGAAGATCGAATTGGAGGAGGGCGACGGGTGGACATGTCTTCGTTGCGGGAACCTGGTCAAGAGGTGCAGGCCCTGGCGAGGCGGTCTTAAAGGGCTCACCACGGTCGGAGATTGGGGCGAAGAGGTCGTCGATCGTCGTAGGGTTGGTTTCGGCGAAAACGGTCCTGATAGTGGGCCAGAAATCGACACGGAGGATTTGGAAACCACCGCGTCAGACGATGACGATGGGGAAGGAACCGAACGCGCGGACGAAGAAGTCAGCGATATCGGCAGCGAGGATACGGAAAGGCCAAACCGTGGACGCCCTGGTTTCAAGGAGAAGCATATCGCTGGTCTATGGGCCGAGGAGACGCTCGATGAGAGTGTTTATAATACCGCGGAAGGGGAAGATGAGTGAGATATTATCCGCACTGCATTTCTTTCTTTATACCTGTACCTCTCTATATTACCAACTTTATTCAATTTAAATCTATGTCGGTTTGTGGTGATGGCGGTGATATAGTTTTTTCTTCTCTACTTTCTCCTTTCTCCTTTTTTTTTTCGTTTCTTCGAGGGACATGGGATTCGGCGCGGTTGATTGAAGATGGGAACCATACTCGTGCTGGCAGTAACTGCTTTAGTCTAATGTATTTTGAGTTGACGGGTTTTCCTTGGTTTTGAGTGCTGTACGGTACGGTAGAAACTTTTTGCTCCGTCTATTTACCTACATTGCCTACCTACCTACCTACCTCCCTGTTAAAGTGCTGATTCTTGTTTTGCGTATATGTCAATATCTACGCCGGTTGATTGCACGTGAGTGGCGGGATCCTGGTTCCTTGGGGAGAGGAGGAGGGGAGGGAAGACATTAGAGTAGTAGTTGGAAAAAAAAAGAATGAACTTTTATTTGTGCTCTCCGGGGGACGTTACTGTACTAGCGACTTTATACAAATTTGGCGGTAACAGGAGCGAAGGGTGAAAGTGAGAAAATGGGAGGGTGAATTGGTAGCAGGTATGGGGTTATCATGTGCAGAGTAGGATAGGATAATTGGGAGGTTTTTAGAATGCCATTTCTCGCTGTTGGGGGAGGGCAGCTTCTTCTTCGTATTCTACTTCGACGTGGGCACCGCCTGTTTAAGGTTGTTAGTATGTTGAGATAGGATGGGTGAATAGAGCGGGAAGGGACGGGGGGAGGAGGGGGTAGTATCATACGTTTCCTTGGCTTCTGAGGAGCTTGTGTTCTCTTGCGCTTTTTGTCTTTAGCGGCTTTCCTGGTGGGTGCTTTCTGGGTAGACTGGGTGTCCTCATCTTCCTCCTCCGAACTGTCATCGTCCTCGTCAGAGCTATCGTCCTCGTCTTTGTCATCATCCTCTTCGAATGAGCTAGCGCCGCTATCCTGTAGCCAGTCTTCTAGGTCTCCCAGTTCCTCTCCTTCGAGGTCTTCGTCGCCAGATACGTATTCTACTTCGCCAGCATCCTCCTCCTCTAGTTCATCCTCATCCTCAAGCTCATCCTCGTCCAAATCCCTCTCCACCTCCCCACCCTTTTCCAGGCCCCTAAGCACCTTCTTCCAAATGTTCTCCTCAACATTTAACGGCTTATCCCCATATGCCCCACTCATCAATCTCTCCACAAGTTCCTTCTCAATCGCCCTCTCAACCTTTGCCGCCGCCAATGCCTTTCTCTCCCTTGTAGCTTCACGCCTCTTGACCTTTGGCTTAACGCCGACCAATTTCTCACCCATGCGCTCATCCTCGCGGGCCACCTTGCGGCTCTTGATAGCGACCTGGGTGAGTCTGGTGAGACGTTGCTTGCATTTGTGTATGAGGAATTTCGGCCAGTAGATTAGTCGGTCATCGATTTGTGCTAGGGCCTGCACGTAGTTTTGTGAGAGCTTGTTGCGCTCCCAGAGTTTGCTAGGCATGTGTGCACGCTCGACGGTCTTCATGTATAGGTATAGGACGCCGTTGTCAGAGCGGACGGTGGCGTAACGGGAGTTGGCTAGCGGGCAGGATTGACGGTTGCAGAGGCCTGTTACCTGTATTTTTTGTGGGGTTGGCCAAGTATTAATAACACTGATGGAGTGGGGGTCTGAGGGAACGGGAGAGAAAAGGGAGGTCAAACATTATATTCGTTTCTGCAGAAGCTTTGACCTTTTGTTGTTCTATCGTGAGGTGGGATAAGTATTAGCGGGGTGGTACATTCGTTTAATTGTGTGAGGTGACTGCGTACTTTAACTTAAAAGAGCAGAATTGCTGGTTTATTACTTGCCAGATGATCTCATCGGAAGCCATGATAGTTGCTCGGTTAATTTGTTTGATCGGTTTATGTTTATTGCAGGAGTTGTACTTGTGGAGCTGTTGTGGTGGTTTTTGGCCGAAAAAAACAAGTGGAAAATTTGTTCGTTGTATCATAAATTACCAAGTTTTCATGGTAGGGTAATTTGGGGGAGAGTTGAGGCTCAAAAGTCTATTTGTGGCATGCCAGGATGTTCTACTGTCGTCGTACAAGCAGATTGGCTTGTCCTTAATTGCTGCTTGCTAGCGCCCTCCAAATAATTTACTGGCATTCCCTTGAATTCTATCGGTTGGGACCTTTTAGCTACCTATCGGCTTTCACAAAAACCTTTAACTAATGGAGCACGATGGTTCTGAAGACGATGGTTTTATGAGCGAGGAATTCAGAGCTGAAGAGTTCGAGTCGGCATTCCTGACTTTGCTGGCCATTCTACTGCACTAACTTGCTAATTCTTCGGTTTCACAGTGAGGTATACCACGATGAGGACTCCGATCCGGACTACGCAGAATCGGATGAAGATATCGACCCTGCCCTAGGAGCGCTGGACGACTTCACTGATGACGAGGGGTTCGTTCATTATCCCCCTCATTCATGAGTCTCATAGCTGCTCTGCTGACTCCCCCGCCTACCCAGCCAATCCGTTCGCTCCGACGTTGACGACGAAAACATTTCCCTTAACGCCCTCAATGATGAAATGGATACCTTCCATGCAGACCTGCGTGCTGCCAGCGGTTTCAAGAAGCACCGGCGCACCGGAGGCCGTCGCCAAATCGGGGACGAGATCTACAGCTTCGAGATCCGTGGACTCCTCGGCCAGGCAAACTCTGCTTACGCTTTTGGTAAACTGGATGAAGCTATGAAACTCGTCAAGCAGATAATCCACATCGAGCCCGGAGTTTACTCAGCGTGGAAGATCCTCGGCGAGATATTCAAGGAGAAAGGGGACAAGCGCAAGTGCTTGCTAGCGTGGCTAACAGCGGCGCATGCACGGCCTAAGGATTGGGAGTTGTGGGTTATATGTGCTAAGATGAGTCTTGGCCAGTACGGGACTGATAATAGAGCCTATAAGGATCAGGCGGTTTATTGTTATAATCGGGCTATTAGTGCGAAGCCTGACAATATTGATGCCATCTATGATCGGGCCTTGTTGCTCAAGGAGTCGGGGAGCCTAAATAAGGCCGCTGAGGGCTTTGTGACGCTAAATAGGTTGCTGCCGAACGATATGTCTGTGCTGAAGGAGCTGGCAGGGTTGTATATTGAGATGGACAAAGTTCCTGAAGCGATTGAGTATTATAGGCGCAGTGTGGAATACTTCAAGGCTACTGGAAACCCGGATAATGCTTTTGGATGGTCTGAGTTGAACATATTTGTTGAGTTGTATTGCCTGGAGAAGCAGTGGGCCAAGGCTATTGATACTATTGGGTCTGTTGGCCGGTGGTTATGTGGGAGAGCTGTGGAGACATATTGGGATAAGGTCAATGGAGATGATAGAGAATGGGATAGTGATGATAGGCCCAGGAGGTGCATGGTCAGAGAGTTTGAAGTTGACCGATTCCAAAAGGAGTCCTATTGTCTCCCACTGGAATTGAGGGTTAAACTTGGTTTATGTCGATTGCGACTGGGGAATATGGAAGAAGCTATGGTAAGTGGAGACCTTACCCAGTTGTATCCATCTCATGTTCTTCACAAATTCATCATGTAATTTATAAGGGTTACGAAAGATTTACCAGTAGGTGGTGCATTCCAAGCTCACGCATATATAACAGCATCACTTCCAAATCCTCCATACCGAAGCCCAGAATTCCCCCAGCTACAGCGATCTGTTCCAAGAAGTCGGCGATGCCCTTTACGGTGGAGGTCACTTTAATGAAGCAATCTCTTACTACTCAGTAGTAGTAGAGGGCGCCGTATATCTCGACCGCAAACTCTGGTTCAACATGGCAGACTGCTACAAAGGCCTCGACAACATTGAAGATGCCGAAGATTGCTATGGCACCGTCTTAGAGGCGTATCCAAGAGACGATGAGGCAATGATGCAGCTGGCCGGAATCTATGAGGTTACGGGTCGAAAGGCGGACGCCCTAGACCTTGTTAATCAGATAATCGGCATGCGCCGAGAAAAGGAGAAAGCGGAGAAAGCTATGAAAGTCGTTACGGCGACTGCTCAGCAGACAGAGGAAGCAGAATCGTTAGCGTTCTTCCCAAATCAACCCATTCCCGAGAGGGTTAAGCGAAAGAGAACGGGCATTCTCGGCGAGGCGGAGAAGATGGAGATGAACGCGAAGAGGACGGAGCAAACGGAGATTCGGTATAGGAAGTTGGAGTACTTGCGATCGAGTATGGAGGCTGGTGATCCAGAAGCTGTGAAGCAATGGCTGGATACAGCAGGAGACCTGGTCGATGATTTCCGCAATACAAGGGCATTATACCCTCATGAGAGGAGAAACAAATTTAAAGGCTTCATGACGACTGCGCAGCGAAGAGCACTGGCTCTAGGTGAAACAAGACGAATTGAGAAGATGCAGGACCGTCTCAAACAGTCTTTAAGTATGGACTTTCTCCCCGCGAGTCAGGTTCCATGAGCGAGTGATCGTCCATGATGCTGACACTGATTGCAGCTTTTGAAGAAGAAGAAATCGAAGAACCGGAGCATCTATCAAAGTTCCGTGGGCTGGACTTCGACACGTGGCTCTACATCTTTATGCAGTACGCCATCTGCCTCGCGAAATATGACAACTACCAAGACGCCTGCGATGTATGTAACGCCGCGAAGGACGCAAACGTATTTTACCATAGTAAAAAGAGAACCTTCACAATCTATATAACTTGGCTAGGTAACCTATTTACCCCTCTACACCCTCCATGCACTTCTGTTGGGGCTAACATTTCCCCTCCCTCATGTCTAGCCTGCGCAATCCACGTCGGCGACAGCGACTCCTGCTCCACCCTCTCCCGCTGGTTTATGACCACCTTCCAATTCACAACAGAAGCTTATAACCTCTTCACGGCGAGCATAACAGCGAGCAAAAATGGGCTAGAAGTCTTCCACAACAACGCCAACCAGAAGTACCTCCTGCGGCAGATCAAAGCAATGGATCAAGTGCTAACCGGGGAACGCAAGACCGGGGCGGCAAACCTCACCGGTGAATGCCCTTCTGGTGGCGCCTCGGGCGAGAAGTACGTGCCGAAGGAAGCTGATGTCGGCCTCATCATGCTGTATGCGCACATCTTGGCGAGCGGGAAGAGTTACCTCTCCGCTCTGAACTATTATACTAGAGCATACGCGCTCGTTCCCGGGGATGCGCTTATCACATTTTGCATCGGTCTGGCGTATCTACATAGGAGCATGCAGCGGCAGAGCGAGAATAGACATATTATGGTGTTGCAGGGGGTTAGTTTTATCTTCGATTATTATGACATCCGGTGTGGAAGGCCCGGAGACCAAGAGGAAGCAGAGAGGGATGTGAGGCCGGAACAGAGACAGGAGGCAGAGTATAATGTTGGGAGGGCTTTTCATCATATTGGTATTTTATTCTTCTTTCCCTTCCTTCCCCTCCACATACTCGGAGTTTGGGGGCGCTGATCAAGAATAATCTTTCTTAGGCCTTTCGCATCTGGCCATACCCTACTATGAACGTGTGCTTCAGATCTCGGAGGAGAACACGGTTGATGGGGACTTGAAGTGGGAGGCTGCGTATAATTTGCAGATGATTTATATGACGAGTGGGAATACGAAGCTTGCTGCAGAGGTTACGGAGAGGTATCTGGTGATTTAGGGGTGGTTGCGATGGTGTTGCTTGTAGGTATAATTACTTTACTTGTGGCATGCGATGCGGTGGGATCTGTAACTTGGCTTATCATAGTTCGGTAATTTTTTCCCTTGTCGAATTCTCAAATATAGGTCGCTGGAGCTAGTGTGAGTTTGACGGGTTGAAATTGTATTTTTACACTGTATTGTTTATAGCATGGCGTTGTGTTATGACTGTTTGTCTATGCTCCATCCTGGCGGGAAAGCTTTTCACCCGGTCAAGGGGATATCCTGCTCGTAAAGGTGATAATTATTTCATTTGCCGGGCAGATTATTTCCCCAGCAGGATGTCCTGCGGACGAACAAAAATTAGTTTATCCCAGTGGGCAAGTGAGATGGTTATATAATGCCTCAAATGATATTAATTGTTGTTTTTTTCCTTAACCTGCTACTCTCCAGAAGTGCGTTTGCATCAACACCCAATATTGCTCTCCATTCACCTGCTGACAGGGAAGTGGGACATCCTAAGGACGAAAGTGACCTACTCGGTCGGGGGGATGGATGTCCTTTCAGCCAAGTGAAAATCTTTCCTGGTGGGATAGAATATCTATAAATCTATGCCACTCACATCATCATAAGATATGATTCGGTATCAGTGAGTTTCTGACCGGAGGGGAAATCTGGTGGGGTGCAGTGGTGTGTGTAAGAGGGGAGCGGGATTGCCGTAGGAGCGAAGCTTTGGATGTGAAGAATTTGCTCGGGGTGAGTCGTTATCTCACTGAGGCTCCAACATCTACGCAATTTAGTTACGGTACCATAGTAGTTATAGGATGGTTGTTTTCGATCGGCCATCCATGGTGAGTTTAGGTTGAGTGGTGGAATGGGGATAAGTTTTAGACATGTGTGGGATCAGTTGTTTTTAAAGAGAGAAGCGGTATGATGGCTTTTGGGCCTTTTAGTTGTACGTTGCCGGTCTTGCAGTGTTTGACTACAGTATGATAATAGCTTCTTGCGGAGTGGACTTTCCCTTTGGGAAGGCAACAAGTGTGGTCGGGGTTGGGATAGGTTAGTATCATGGTCTGCAAGTATCATATGATATCGTATCCAGAAAGTTAGTATCATATCATACCTAAACATAGGTATCATAATATTATTAAAAATTTGTATGGTAGATTGTCTGTGCGGGTCTGAGCTCTCATACTAATTCAGGCGCGAATGTTTAGGTAAAGTGACTAAGCAAAAGTCTTGGTGATCGGGGCAAATTTGCACCAAAAATCGTCATTTTGGAGGGTTTTTAAAGAGGTTTCCAGACTGATTCTATGTGGAATACCTACCAAAAGCCATCCAAGTTGTCACATACACATGTAGAGATAATCCTCCAGCTGTTTACAGAGTCTCTAGACACTTTCCTATTGTGTGGCAGCAAAATTTAAGGTGGGAACATTGTTGAAGGAGGGGTTGCTGGGGCAATTATCATAGAAAATTGGTGATAATGGTGACTTTTAAGTGATGACAGAACTTTACAAGCTTGCAGGGCCTTCAGTTGATAATGTATATGCTTCAAATTAATCATGAGATATTGCAGAGATAAAGTGACTTTAAATCAGGAATTTAGGGAAAAGGAGATCCAGTTTTCAAAGAAATACCGATGATTGAAAGTGAGGTTTTTGGCTATTTTTGGTGGGGAAATGGGGCGATCACCAAGACTTTTGCTTAGTCACTTTATTTTTTTTATATAAATTTTCCCATTTCGGGAGTGTTTAGGTATGGTATCATACGGGTATGATATACGAGTATAATAACTTTACCAGTATTTATATTTCTAGTTTGGGCACATGTAACTAAGTGTTCGTTAAGGGCAAGGTTTTGATTGCCCTGCTTACATAACAGAAGCTAAATTTTTGCCAAGACAGTGAGAATTGAACACGCGAAAGTCTCACATCTCCTGGGAATCCCTTTAGATCGTACATAAATTAACCCGCACCCTTCAATACCTATTTCACTCACATCTCTTCTTTTTTATTTTTCTCCATCGCAACATCTGGCTCCTCTGTTCTGAGATATCCAAGTTTTCTCCTTTACGCGTCGACGATCGACCATGGATATTGACGAGGCCGATGAGGTCGTTGTTCAATCAGTAATTCGTCTGCCCTCCCCTTCACCTCCTCCGTCAAAGCGCAAGCGTTCCCCTAATTCTAGGTCCCGATCACCCCGTCGCCGACGTTCACTCCCTCGTAGGCCATCTCGGCTTGACTCTTTTGGCGGTGTCGACTCTGGACGCGCTCGGGAGAGGGATCGTCAACTTAATGATCGCCTTAGAAAGCTTGACGTTCGGGCGGAGAGGACGGAGAAGGAAGTAGTGGAGAAACCGAAATTTGATGCGAAGGCAGAGTACGAGAAGCTTTTGTCTATGAGGTCTGGCGGTACATATATCCCCCCCGCCCGTCTGCGAGCGCTCCAGGCGCAGATTACCGACAAGACGTCCAAGGAATATCAACGAATGGCCTGGGAGGCTTTGAAAAAAAGTATCAACGGTTTGATCAACAAAGTGAACGTATCCAATATCAAGCATATCGTCCCGGAGCTTTTCGGCGAAAATCTTATCCGTGGACGGGGTCTCTACTGTCGGTCAATCATGAAGGCACAAGCCGCGTCTCTACCATTTACCCCTATCTACGCCGCCATGACCGCTATCGTCAATACGAAGCTTCCACAAGTTGGAGAGTTACTCCTGAATCGGCTAGTGGTACAGTTTAGGAAGGCTTTCAAGAGGAACGATAAGGCTGTTTGTTTGAGCAGTACTACCTTTATTGCTCAGCTTTGTAATCAACAGGTCGCAGATGAGATCTTAGCCATTGAGATACTCATGTTGCTTCTGAATAAACCTACGGACGACTCGGTGGAGATCGCTGTAGGGTTGATGCGTGAGGTTGGGGCTCATTTGGAGGAAATGGCACCAAGGGCAAACAATCTTGTTTTTGAGCAGTTCCGGACAATTCTTCACGAGGCTGGTATCGACAAACGTGTCCAGTATATGATTGAGGTGTTGTTTCAGGTTAGGAAGGAAAAGTATAAGGATAATCCTATCGTGAAGGAAGAGCTTGATTTGGTGGAGGAGGAGGATCAGATCACGCATAAGACAGAGCTTGACGATGAGATTGATGTCCAGGATGGATTGAACATTTTCAAATTCGATGCTGATTGGGAAGAGCACGAGGAGTTGTACCGCAAGACCAAGGCCGAGATTTTAGGAGAGGGGAGTGATGTTGGGAGTGATGAGGAAGATGAAGATGAGAGTAGCGACGAGGAAGATGAAGAGAAGCAGGAAGACAAGAAAATGGAGATCCTGGATCAATCCAATACCAATCTTGTCAATCTCCGAAGAACCATATACCTTACCATCATGTCTTCAATTGACTTTGAAGAGTGTTGCCATAAACTTATGAAGGTAGGTTACCCATTCTTCTCCGTCAGTATGAGGTTACAGGGCTAATATAGAGCTCTAGATTACTCTCCCGCCTGGCCTCGAAAACGAGCTCTGTTCGATGGTAATTGAATGTTGTTCCCAAGAGCGAACCTACACGAAGTTTTATGGTCTCATCGGCGAGAGATTTGCGAAATTGAACCGATTCTGGACTGGTTTGTTTGAAGAGTCCTTTGGAACATACTACGATACTATCCATCGTTACGAAACCAACCGGCTTAGAAATATCGCCCGCTTTTTCGGACATCAGCTCTCGACTGACGCATTGGGTTGGCATGTGCTTTCTGTTGTGCATATTAACGAAGAAGAGACTACGGCTTCTTCTCGTATCTTTATTAAAATACTTTTCCAAGACTTGGCTGAAGCGATGGGGATGAAAAGGTTGCAGGAACGGTTAAAGGACCCTTTCTTGCAGGAGGCATTCTCAGGGCTATTCCCCAAAGACAATCCGCGAAACACGCGGTTCTCGATCAATTACTTTACCAGTATTGGTATGGGTGGGGTTACTGAGGATATGAGAGAACATTTGAAAAACAATGTTCCACCGCCTACTGCCATAGTTGCACCGTCTGCTCGATCGGAGAGCCTCAGTTCGCGCTCAAGTTACTCTAGCCGCTCTGGAAGCTCGTCTTCCGGAAGATCAAGGTCCAGGTCAAGGTCTAGATCTTTCTCCCGGTCGGTCTCAAGGTCACCATTAAGGACACGGGATGGAGGGCGAAAGAGGGGCCGTAGTTATTCCAGCTCCCGAGATTCTCGCAGCCGTAGCCATAGTTACGATTCTTACTCTTCGCGGTCGAGATCCCGTTCTTATTCCCGCTCGCGTTCGCGCTCTAGGTCTTTTTCTAACACTAGACCTACGAAAAGGGCTCGGGGACGCTCCTACACCCGTAGTATAACTGGCTCTAGGTCGCCGTCCGGGTCTCTGACTAGATCCCCCTCGAGTCGCAGATCAGTTTCTTACACCCCGCCTCCGCGTAAAAGTGAGAGAGCAAGGTCGAGATCGAGGTCATACTCTTCCGCAGGGAGTTATCGTCGCCGTCGAAGCGCTACTTATTCCTCGCGAAGCCGCAGTGGTTCCCGCTCACCGACACCCCCGAGAAAGTCGGATGGAAATAAGAGCCGGAGCTCACGCTCTCCTCCCGCCTACAGGGGCCGCAGTTATACTCCAGACCGAAGCCAAAGTCGAAGCCGTAGTAGAAGTAGGGGCTACGGTGGGAAAGGAAGCCGCTATGACTTCTCCGGTAGAAATGGAAATAGATCTAGGGGGCGGGAGAGATACAGGGGTGATGCGCGACCAAGAGACGACGACGGCGGCGATGGCAGACGCGAAAGGCCCCTCGCCGCTGGTGGGGGATATGGCGGAAGGGGAGGAGGCGGGAGAGTTAGAGCTGCAGATTTCTTGTAATTCAGTATCTTTCTTATCATTCATAATCTTTCGGACGAGCGAGGAGGAGGATGAGGGTGCCATCTCACTCACCGTCGGTTTTTTTTCTTTGAAAAATTGTATTTTTAACGTCCTTTCAAGGATGCAACTGCACCGTCGGGGGAGTGGCGGGGGAAGGGGAGATGGAGCTACGATATTTAAAAGTCGCGATAGTGTGATTTCTCTTTTGTAGTGCAGACTTATCCAACGCCCTATGGGCTGTCTTACTATACTGGCGATTTACTCGTCAATTCATAAAGTATCCAGACCTAAAAACGTCAAGAACTGATGGCTTGAGCCCAAGTTCGAGAATCTTGGCATCTCTATTTCTTGATACTTGACGAATTGGTGAGTATATACTTATCCTTTTAAATTCACTTGTTTTCCTTTCTATCTCGTTCTAGCACGGGTAGATGGCTGCGCCATCTAACTTATGGTTCAGTGACAAAAATGATCATTGATATGCTTGATGACACTACCTGCACCCCGTCTTTTGACATCAGCCATCGTGCAGGCTCCGGTGTAACTGGAATACTGTAGTAGAGATTTTGGTATTGGGTGTCGCCATGAGTGCTGTTGCGCCATAGATTGTACGGCCAATAATGGCTTTTATCCAAGAAGTATATTTAGCGTGTCCTGCCCCTCCTGCTGGCTGCTGGGTGTCTGAAGTTGAAACGAGCCCAATCTTACAAAAACCAATTCGAGAGCCTTTCGACAATGTAGGGAGAGAAAAAAGAAAAACGGGTATTCTCCCGACTTTTGCAGCATTTTAGTTAGTTACATATGAAGAATTCTATACTATATCGTATGACTTTCAGCATAACTCAACTTGTAAAACCCCCGAAGGAATTTATTCTTTAATTAGAATTGCCAATAGGGCGATTGCTGTTTGGATATGGCTTTTCTGCCTCCTTTGTCCGGGGAATTGCAGTATTTGAATTGTTTAAGGTGACATGGGGTGCATCACAACCTGTCACTCGTTGGATCGAGGAACATGAAGGGTTGGGATTAGGAATTTGTATGTGTGATTGGGTATATAACTGGAATTAGGTTTATTGTGATTGCCCAAGAGGGTTTTCCATCCACCCACTTGGTTGTATGTGGCGTATGGTTGTTGGGTTAGATTTATTTTAGAAGTATCATAAGGTACAAATCAGGGGGCAAACGAAAGAAAAATTGGACGAATAGCGCTACAGAGATGTGTCTCGGATTCACCGCCACTACTCTACCACGAAAAGACCCCCAGTGAAGCGATACCGCGGAGTCAGGGAGGGTGCAGCCGCCTTCGGGCCGCCTGATCCATATGGCTACTTAAGTATATGTTAGCTTCCTTCTATTCTGGAAATCGACTACCTCTTGAGTTCTGTACTTAATTGAGTAAAGCTTTAGGCTTAATGATATCTTTATCTTTATATTTGGAAGGAACACTTTGGTGTGGTTACAACCTGGGGATCCATCTTCCCACAGTGAGCACACAGTACAATGGTGTTGAAGTCTTACTAAATAGGAAGTAAATTCCAATCACCAGAGATGTAGCTGAGATGGAGGATAGTGGTTATGCCATGAGTTTGCACTTAATATATCATCAGATAATACTAAATTATTATTTGACTGTGACTTTATTGTATTTGGATTTTTTTTAAAAAAAGAAATTCAAGAAATTCAAGTGAGGTATGGTTCCGGAAGGCTAGCTTCTAAACCAGCTTTCTTACAAAATGTGTGACCTTTTTTCTGCAACAGCAACCATTACACCTGCATATTTCTTAACTCTACCTCTAAGACAATGAAACCCTAATATCCAAATGACCACATAACTTGTATTATAATCAACAATTCACTTCTTGTTCTATGTTATGATATTGTTCTTTACTGTATTTCACAATCTTTTAGCTTCAATATTTCTTCTAAATGTATGATATTCAAAACTCCAAATCGAATATTGCTTGCCCATCCAACTATTTACACAAATTACCTGAGCTAATTTATCAACAGAATCTACTGAATTATGGAATCAGATATCCAACTCCAGCGAGAAAAAAAGAATGCAGCAGTCAAGGAACGTATGCGCAAGTACAGAGCTAGACAAACCAGGACTCCTCAAGCAACTCCATCACATCCCAGTTCAAGTACTGAGAGAGCTCACAAATGTCGTAAAAAAAACAAACAATTGAGATTACTCCAGCTTCAGCAATGCAATCAAGACCAAGATGGTCAAATTGCAGAGGTTGCCATTACAAGGGTGTCTTCCTCTCGAGAAAAGATGCACAGATATCGTGAATGCCAGAGACTGAGGTCTAGACTGACGCCCGTTATCCCTCTCACTGTAAGAGAACGGGCTCGCCGAAGTTATGCCAAAAAGCGGCAATCAAAACTTAAACATATGATAGCTGATCAGGCTATATTACAGGTAACGATGCATATTAAACATGAAAGATTAGTGAGAGTAAGCAGCTGATTTGATCATGATAGAACAATGAGTCTCGTAGGCTAGCTTATAGTAATTGGCCACGTCTAGCTGGTCCATTACGAATTTTCAAAGAGGAGATTCTAGAGTCTGGTTTAAGAAGACTGAAGATAAAAATTAACTCTTTGAACAAAAAAGGAGGAACCCTTTCAAATAGTTTACAGTTGGATTGGAATGTTCAACTCTATGCATTTATTAAGCTACAGTTGAAGGGAGAAAGGAAATGGAAGAGTGAGGAGCTGAAATGGGGGCCGACAGATCTAATAATCCAGCCAAAATCACGAAAGGAGTTGGCATTCTTGGTTGCCAAGTCAGCAGGTTGGGGGACGTCAGTGATGAATAGAATTCTGGCACAGGAGGTGGAATATATAAAAAGTGGAAAGACACCAGTACTTAAGCAAGGCAAGCATCCTAAGGTTGTCAGCTGGTTGACAGATGAGGGTACAATGTTGGCAATACGGGAGTATATGTCTTTGGCAGGAGAAGGTAAGTAGTGATGCAGTTGAAGAATTCCAGTTTGTATAACCCCTACTAAGTACTAAGATGATTCAATAGCAATAGATTCATCAGGACTAGCTCAGGCTATTACAAACTATTGGACTGAAACCTACAGAGACGAGATCACAGAAGATATAATCGAGCAACCAGTAATCTCTACTGCAGGGATACATCGGAGAATTAAGAAGGCCTTATCCAGCTGTGCTGCTCGCACCTGACTACTTAAACTCGGTTAGAATTGGAAGAAAGTCAAGAAGGGTATATATAAGGATAGGTACGAAAGAGAAGATGTTATCAAATATCGTGATACGATCTTCCTTCCTCGTATGGCATCATTAAAGCCAAGAATAGTGGAATGGGATGAAACTTTAGATGTTATTCCCAAGGGATACGAGGCTGGAACCCGTCCAATCGTTTTCATACCGCATGATGAGTGCACATTCAACTCCAACGATGGAAGGAAAAGGATTTGGATACATGAGGTTAAGGTGCCAATTAGGAAAAAGGGCTGAGGCCAAGGACTTCATATATCTGATTTTCTTACTCCTATTGGAAGATTAGGAGCAGGTAGTATCTCAGAGATCCTAAAGTGTGGGGGAGATATTGGTGGACTGGAGAGTTGTTACTCAAACAACTGACAGAAAAGGCTATCCCAGCATTCGAAAAGGCCTTTCCTGGATGTCAAGGTCTGTTTGCATTTGATAATGCAAAAATTCACCAAAAACATGCATCAGATGCACTTCTTGTTTCCAACCTGAACCTCACCCCCGGAGGTAAAAATACTGTACCAATGCCTGATGGATACTTTACACTACCAGATTATCCCAATTCAGTACAGAGGCAGTCAATGATGTTGCCTGATGGGAGAGTCAAGGGTTTACGACTTGTACTGCAGGAACGTGGTCTCTGGCTATCCAACAGAAGGCTGTTAACATAATGCTCTATCCCTGGAGACAAACCTGGAGAACGAAAGCCCAATCCTGCTTGCAAGTTTGCAAGCAATGCGAGCTGTTGCGCACGTGCCTTACTCGCTTTCCAGCCTGACTTTCAAGCACAAAAATGCCAATTGCAGGAAACTCTTGAGGCAGCTGGCCATCAGGTAATATTCTATCCTGTATTTCACTGTGAGCTTAACTTTATAGAATACTTTTGGGGTCAGGCAAAGGTTTATACCAGAGCACATTGTGAATATACATTTCCATCCTTAGTTAGAACTGTTCCAGAGGCACTGGCACATGTCTCAAACATCTTGATCTGGAAGTATTATCAGCGGACCTTGCGGATAATGGATGCCTATAGGAATAGGATGGTTTATGGGTCGAAGGAATTCAAGAGACATGTATACACAAGGTACTCATTTCACAGACAACTTTCTGAATTGGACCTTCATGTTATTTAGATAATAATATGAATAATTATTGTGTTTCCATATAATTTGATTCTACTGTTGAGGTAAAATATAATGCTATAAATATTAGGGTTTCATTGTCTTAGAGGCAGGGTTAAGAAATATGCAGGTGTAACGGTTGCTGTTGCAGAAAAAAGGTCACACATTTTGTGAGAAAGCTGGTTTAGAAGCTAGCCTTCCGGAACCATAAATCAGTAATAAGATACTATTATGAAATTATAAAATTATAATACCACAATCCTGAAGAAATAACCCTAATCCTGATTGCATAAAGTACAATATTTAAAATGCTGCTGGTTGAAATTATTCAAGTTAAAGGCATTTAGAACCTGAATATTTGAGTTCAAATCTTATATGAGAGGTCAGATATGCACAGACAATTTGCTATACAAATTTTTATTACTATATTCTGGTTCTAAATGCCTGTAACTATAGACTGCATGTATCATACTAGGGCTACAAGTTAGGTTTAATGAATTTCTAATATATACCTGAGACCTATATAGAGTAAACTTATAAGAGATTCCTTTAAGCTACTATTATTACCTTCTTCACAGTTGGTAGTTTTCTCATATTAGGTAAATGATAAGGCTGTGTCTGGGAGTATATATCAGAGATCTCACTATTTGGAGTCTCTACATACTGATAGAATATGCCACAAATTATATTACTATCATTATTACCTGTGGAATCGGATTACTGATAACATAAATCATGTAGAAGTGATACAAAACTGAGATGTGATACAAGGTTGAACTTGGTATACATGGCATATATACGGCGATGGTACCCCACTTTGCTGACAGTATAAAGGATTATCAGAACCACAATCTCTTTACAATGAAGTAAAGAAGAAGTAAAG